TTTATTATAAATTGGGAAAAAGTGAGGTTAAATTCGGGTGACAGTTGACAGATGTCAAAATTTTAACAAATAAAATTGGCTTTAAATTCTGTTTTGTGTTCGTCGTAGATAAAGTATAGTATGCAACTCGTTTATAAACTTCTCTAGACACTCGTTTTTATTAAACACTCGCTCGCAAGCTTCGCTCGTGCTTAATTAAATTCGTAACTAAATTTTAGTTACTAAAATGGCGTTTATAAAACTTGATACATAATATACTATTTCCTATATTGTTATTATAACCATAAGTTATAATTTAATGAACCATATTTTGCATAACAAATCTTTATTGTTGGGTATTACAATATATTTTCTTAGAGTAAGGATTTGTTTCAAGCCGATATATATACATATATTATAATCATTTTTTGGACCAATATATATGTATATAAACAACAATTATAATATAATATATTATATAACTATATAATAATATTATATTATAATCGTTTTTTGGACCCAAGGTTTTTTTTTGAAGTGCGTCACATATAACAAAAATATATTTCCAATCCAAATCGGTAGTTGACTTCATAATATGATTAAGTTTGCTTCTAATTTTTATGTAATTAAATTATAATATGATATTATCAAAGATTTTTCTAATAAACAAACACGTTTTTGTTTTATGATTAATGCCTTTTGTCAATTTTGAATGTCCGATAGTATATTATGTATCAGGTTTGATAAACGCCATTTTAGTCATACATTTAATTTAGGCACGAGCGACCTTGCGAGCGAGTGCTTAATTAAATGAGTGCCTAGAAACGTCGCCTACTCGTCCGGTCTCTAATGGTTAATTGGTGAATTATTTAAGTTTAATTTTTTTAGTGGAAATTAGAACTTATATTTAAATTGGTAAATCTTATAATAATAAATCTATTTAAACATATATAAATATACCTACTTCATAAATTAAATTATATAATTAAAATTATAATTATAATAAATATTATTATATTTTTGAACACTGTTTAAAAAAATGGAATGAGGATTTAAATATCCCTATAGGGTTTTATAAAAATAGTGGTAAATTTAAGACGACCTGCTCTGCTGTTTATAAAAATTAAGACCTAAATATGACGCAGTAAATTACTAGATACATAATCAGAATCAATATTAAATCTTAAATGTTTTCTATTAAGTATATATATATATGTATTTTTCGCATAAAATATTTTACAATTTAACCTTACTTACTTACATATGTAGTTCCATAGTGAGACATAGTTTGTGGATGACAAATTATATTAGACATTGCTTAATTAATTTGTAATTGATCTAGTTTTATTGCCAATTTTATAATTAAGTGGCCATGTACCTACTTGAAAATTTATGTTTAATTTGAATTTGAATAATGTTTCGATACATTAAATTAGACTGAACTTTTCCGTAATGCCACCATCTACATAAATGTACTATTCTCCTTCAATATCCTTTTTAAATTTTTTAAATACCTTTTCTTGATTTATTTAAATCAAAACCAAGGACGTTTAAAAGGCAAGAAAAAATAAAACAAAAATAATTAAAATTAAAAAAATTATTTTTAAAATTTTTGTTTCAAAGAGTTTTATGGTAAAGGAAGCATGAATAATAGCTAAGCAATTCACCAGGAAATAATAGATATTATTAAACCTAAAACCAATTACGCAATGTTAACCTTAAAAAATAGATCAATTTTCTTTATTTAACTTTGTGGCTTTCATGAAAGAGCACTTACTCATACGCCCGCCAAGGTTTTAGGCAACGGCACGAAACAAATCAAGGCAACAAAACAGTTAGTATACTTTAGTACATTTATTCAAATGATAAAAATAAAATCATTTTCATAATTAAAATTTCTAAATTTAATAATAAAAACTCAATTTGTAAACCAAATTTACCGATTAAAATGAAAGGTTTAAATATTTCAATATAATCAAACGAATCTGCGATCGTTGAATACTCAAGGTTGTTACGAAATAATATTTATAAATAATTAATAAATTAAGTATAAGTCCACATACATAGGTGTTAAATTTTATACTTTCGGTTATTTTAGAAATCTAACGCATTCCAGTATCAAAAGCCTGGGGGGCTTAAACGGAAAGCACCGCAGGAAAAACAAATTTTGAGTGTCACCCCAAATTTTGGACATACAAATAGAATAAAAATAAAATATCAGGTCAAATTTGAGGTTTTAAAAACGTTTGAGGGTACCAATACTTGAAAACTAAATGTCACCAAAAATCTTTAAAGAATTAAGCTCATTCTTCAACGATTTTCCATGCAAAAATATAATCAAGTACAAGTTGCAGAAGGCCACATATTCCCGCACGAATTCGAATGAGTGCAGGAATAGCCTTCTGCAATGTGTGTTTTATATCATTTTCTCGATTTTGACTTTTGTTTAAAGTTTCTTTAAATGTCCAGTGGTCGTTGTTAGTTAGAATAAGATAACTCCATTTTTTAATATTTTGACAAGCACATTTTTTGACTAATATTTTTTTTGCAAGGATAACTCAACTGCGATCATAACCGAATCGGTTAAACCGATCACTGTCGAGCGCTACAAAAATGGTATACTTAACTCCCAATGAAAATAAGTTACAAATTCAAATTACTCATAACGGTATTTTGGGAGTTATCTGGTTTTTGCAGTAACACGACGATATGTACTTGTATGTAATGACAGGTGAATTACTATTTTTAACTAAAATGATAAGTTTTGTGTAAGTATACTTTTATACTTGTACACTTGTTATACTCTTTTAAAATGTTTTACTCATATTTTTAAACAATTATCGGCATAAAATGTCATAAGAGGTTTTATTGACCTATTTGGCTCATTTAATTGTCATTGTTTGTTAAAAAGAACATAAAAAGAATATACATAATCATAATAACGAATTTCAGGTTATAAAACAGTTTGAAATTTTTAAAGCTCATTCTTCAACGATTTTGCGTGAGAGATGACATTTTTACACCAAAATTGGCGTTTATAAAACTTCATAAATAATATATTATCTTCAAGCGGTCTTCTAAACTTTATTGTCGTCAACACTTGACACTTAAGTGATTTATTATGGAATAGACACATTTATAATCATTATTGGCTAGTAATTACTTGTTAGTGACATTGATTGGCCGATTTCATTATGCATCGTGATTTGGACCAATCATAAAATTCGACTTCGACACTTTCTAGGTTAACGTGCAAAAATGGTTTAGTTATAAGACTGTAACCACAACTTTTAAGTAAATTTAACCTGTACAGAAATATAGTAATAAGTATATTTTGCGACTTATGGGAGATATATCGAGCGTGTAACACGCGAGTGGAATCTCCTCTTTTGACCAATAGTCTCAGTAGGGTTTTAAAATTTCCGGGAAAAATTGAGCCAGCGAAAATCCCGTTTTTGACCGAAAAAAAGAAAACGGAAAAATTGGGAAATTTTCAGATTTTGATTTTTGCTATTTTTTCATTTTATTTAAAGTGTTATATGAACAAAATACACATTTTTCTGAAAATTCCAAATTTTTCCGAATGATATCCGTACACTGGTATCAAGAAAAAAGTAAATTTTCGACGCTGATTATAATCATAATATGATGATTATAATAATTATTTATTTTATTTTAATTCAGTAAAAATATTCTAACGGGCTTGATAAAAACATATTCGGTGCTGTATTAACATACAAACTTTCGTTTTATTTGTCAGTGACAAATTGTCACTTCGATTTATAAAATTATAATTTTGTAATTTAACTATATAAATCAATTATTATTCTGTGATTGGATATTTTAAATGGACTCCTTTTTGCAAAAAAGACCCAACCGACTGTCGCGACAGTAGGTACCTATATTTAACTATTACGTTTATTTTCTTAAATCAATTTAATTTAATTCAATATTTAGTTTTTGTTTTTTCTGTAATAAGATATTTTTTTTCATTAAAATATTCTTAATTAACAAATTAAGTTGTTGATTGCTACTTTATTCAAATTTATATATTTTCCAAAAAAAGCTAATTTTTCAAGACCTGGAAAAAAAACGGAGAAACCAAGTTTTTTCCCAATTTTTCCTAAACTTTAAAACTCTAAGTCGCACACTGCAAGGAACTTAAAGCCAATTTTATTTGATATTTTATAACTGTCAAATAGTTTCAACCTCACTTTTTTCCAATAATAACATAAAGCTAACTTTTGCTAAAGGCCATCCCCCTGAAGAAACGGAGACGTTTTTTCAGACCAAAGAAGAAGAAGAAAGCTAACTTTTAAAGTAAAAAAGCTAAAGGCCATTAACCTCTGAATACAGATATACTCTGTATTCAGATTTATTGAATTGAATTGAACTTTTAAAGTTAGCTTAAGAAATGAACAATCAGGAAATTTATTATTTTGTATACTCTCAGCATGACAACAAAATTACATATTCCTTGCGGGTGTAGGTATATTGTAAATTGTTAATTTTTTGTACTTGTTAGTGTCATAAAGTTTACCACTGATTAAAGCTGAAATAAAATAGCAATGTTTTAGTTTAATTACATTTTTAACCACATTAGCTATCGCTTTTTAAATAAAAAAAGAGATTAGATTTTCATTTAAACTGGAAAGAAATAAGTTTTTTGCGTCTACTGCAAAAATTTTAAATTTTGCACATAATAGTTAGGTATTCGAAAATTATTGTTAAAGAATTTATAAAATTTAGCTCAAGTCGACATGGTTCCTTGACAAACAAAAAATCAATTATTTACAAACCCACAAGCCAAGTATTTTTAATATATCCGATGATTAATAAATTTTATCTTTTGTGATACATTAAATTTATATTAATTTTGTTGGCATATGTAACGAAAAAAGTGAAAACTATTAGACAATTTCAAAGGAGTGTGGGTTTCGCAGACCATTACTCAACACTAAAACGGTAACAAGTGGTAGGATGTGCGATACCGACTTCCATCGTCAGGTCCGGTTAAAGTTTGAAGGACTCAAATCGCATAAGGCGTCGTTTGTTCTTCGCCCGTTCTAAACTGGAAAAAGCAACGCAATTTATAAAAGCTCGAATACTTATTTTACATGCCGCATTAGTTAGGTAACACACGCTGCCATCGAAATGTTGTTGTTTTTGGTTAGTACAAAAACTGTATAATATTTTTTTAATAAATCGCTCTAATAAATTTTAACAAGTGTTTGACAGTGATTTTTTGTGTTGTTTATTAAAGGTATGTCTTGCGCTTTCGACCGTTGTGGCCACCGAGCTTGGAGATCCTTCAATTCTCTACCAAAATTACCACGGGGAATACGCTCAATCATATAATGATTACGTAAGTACTTTCTGTATTAAGACATTTAAACTAATACAAACAAGACAGTAAATTATTACCTACTAAAATGTAAGCATACTTTACTTATAAAATAAGGTCAATCAATACTTTCTTAGAGAAGCAAACAACATTTGCAAGTGTCACACTTGCTTTATAAAGTAAATTGGTTTATACCACAGGTCTGTGGTTTATACAAACTTAATTAATTAATTTTTGTGTTAACTTTTGCTGCTATAAATAATTATTTCCAGTAAGACTAATAACTTAATATAATTCACGACCGCAGTTTTTACAGGTTGTTTTGAAAGGTGTAAAGAAATTTAGAAGTGTTTTATATCAACAATATACAACACATGTTTGCACTTACGTTTACAAAATATATTTTGTTTTATTCAATTGGCATCGTTTCTATATTTTTTTTTAATGAACTAAAATGGATGGAAAGATGGAAGAAATACAGAATTTTAAAATCAACAGTCTTTTTATCTATGGTAAATAAACAGGATGCACCAAGTATTTTTCCAAGTATGAGTATCTTTTTTATTTGAAGTTGCGTTATTACAAGTTATAAAAATGGCATTTTAAATTGAAAAAAAATCGGCGGTTCACAAATAATTTTAAAAAAACTAAAATTCTGTCAAAACCAAAAATCGTTATAACTTTGTTATTCCTGGGAATTCTGAAAAAAAGTTTTACTGTAAACATAAACATTTTTGAGTTACCACCACCACCACCATCTTTTATTTTTTTATGGCCGCCATATTAAAATTTTATATGGTAAGATATAAAAAATTAAGAAATCCAACGATGTATTAAATTATATTAGTTATCCAGTGAAGTGTAAAGAAATGTATGAAAATGCAGATAAATGTGTATGTTTACATGTTAAACCTACTTTTTTCCCAGGAATAACGATTTTTAGTCCTGAAAGGTTTTTAATTTATTTAAAATATTTTGATTATTTTTTTTCCAATTCATAAATTTTATTTTAAGATGCTTAAAATTACGCAATTTTTTTTATATAACCGTCCTTGTAGCACAAATAAAAAAATACCCATAGGTTTATTATATTGTTTTCGCCGGGGTAATCCCGAACTATAATTCCGGACATCCTTACATATTTATTTAAAACTTGTCGTTTAAAATGTAAAATACGCATGACAAATTTGCTATAGGATGTCCGAACTAGTTTGGGCTTAGCACCGCGAACTCACCTATTATTATTATACACAGAGAGATGGTGCACCCTGTATATACAGGGTGGTAAAAAAAGGTAAAATATTTCTAGTGCGTACACTGAAAGAAATATATGTTTGTTTTAGCAATGTATGTGGTAGTCTATATATGAACCACATACATTTGCTAAAACAAACATATATTTCTTTCAGTGTATAGTAAGTAGAGCCAAGAAGAAGACAAAAAGTCCTTTGGTGTTTTACGATCTGACTCACCTTAAATTAGTTATTAATTAAATAGCATACTAAAAAGAATGTCAGAAAACTTAACCAAAAAACAAAAACATTGACAGTGACAACTATACAATTAAGGTCAATTCACACTACTATCCAATTACTACAAAAATGTGTTTTTTAAAATCTTATTTAATTTTTAATTTTAGTATCTACAAATTGATAATTAAAAAAGTTTTTATTTTAATTTTTATTCAAATTAGGTTATTTGATCATATTATGAGCTCCCCTACATTGTTTTTACTGTTAGAGTATTGTTGTAATTGCATTTTTGAATACTGAAATTAAAAATCGAAAAAAAATTATAAAAAACCCATTTTTGTAAAAGTCTGGCTATTAAGCTATTGACTATCGAATTGACCTTAATTGTAGGTATAGTTGTCACTGTCAGTGTTTGTTTTAGGTTTTTTAAGTTTTCTGACATTCTTTATACTTTATCGCACCTCTACTCATTCTGCTAAAGCAGGGCTGTCATTGGCTCGGTCATTGGCTTCTTAATTTAATTAATAACTAATTAAGGGTCAGTCAGATCGAAAAACACCATAGGACTTTTCGTATTTTTAGATCCACTATACGTCTTAAAAATATTTTATCCTTTTTTTAACACCCTTTATATTTATAATATTTTTGTAAAAACATTTTTTTTTATAAAAACACTAAAACGTATTATATTATATTTTATTAAAAATTAAGCTTTAAAAAAAATGTGACATATATTAATTACATAAATTAAAAAATAATTCTCCAGAATATTTCTTAAACTTGTTGCCAGAGCTGGCCAAGTACTGAGTACTTTTACTCGTATTTCTATTAAAAGTAAAAAAGTACTAGTACTTTTTTACTCATAAGTATTTTTCATTTACTTATTCCCCGTACTTACAAACCAAATTCAATGTACTCGGAATTCACGAGTAATATATACGAATTTTTCCGTTTAGTATATCGATGACTTTTTGCCAAAATATCGTAAGCATCAAAACATTTAGTTTGGAAGTTATTTTTTAAATGATATAATATATAGTATAATATAATATATTATAGCCTATAGGTTTTATTATTTTAGTTACCTAATGTTTAATATAAATAATTTTATAAATTTGTATTTGTATTTTTATAGCTCAGGACCAAAGTATGTATAATGTATAAAGAATAATCAATTATATTAACTAACATTTTTTTTCAAAAGTACCCGTACTCTTTACTCGTGTTTTCACGATTACTAAGTAGTACTAGTACTAGTAACCGTAACCTATCTTTACAAATGTACTAACGAGTAAAGTACTTACAAGTAAATATTGTAAGTACTCGTACTTAAAATTTTACGAATACTTTTTTTAGTACTCGTGCCCAGCTCTGCTTGTTGCAATAGCCCCTTGAGTTCTACGGGCTCTCGTGTCTATTGCCAGACAACAAGTTTTCGAAATATTTTCAATTTATTCTCACTCTGTTGTTATTAATACTTTGTCTCAGTTTATTTTAAACTATAAATTTCTATTACACTTGGTATAATTTTTAACTAAAAATACAGAAAAACCATGGATTAACATCATAAACATTAACATCATAAACATTTTGTGTAAAATTGTGTAAAAACTGTCAAAATCTACCAGGGTCGTGAAATTTAACTTATAACTATATTTTTAATTTAATTAATACTTAGATTTAAATGAGAAAGTAAGACACGTTAAATTTGAAATAATATTGATATAAAATATTCATATATTAAATATTAATAAAATTTATTTTATGCAAAAAATATTTAATCCGTTATATACGAGTTAAAATTTTCAAGAAGTAATTATCAACATAGAATTTCTTATTCCTTTTAAAATGAGGATGTTTCTTTTCTAATTTCGTTGCAAGAAAAATGTTAACAGTTCTAGGAAACTCGACATTTATTTAAAAACTTTCTTATCTCTTCCAAATACAGAATAATTTAACAGTTTATTTATGTATAACTAATTAATAAGTAAAAACAATTTATACTGTGATTGCAACTACGTAATGTAATAATATCGGACAACGTCTTGGTTGGTTGGACATATACTACGTAATTAAATTACTACAAAATAAATTTGTTGCGATACACATTCTAAAAGTTTCTTGTGCCAATCGCTTACGCTGATTATTTAATGACAAAAGATATTTAAAATTGCCATTCAACATAAAAGAAACAGGAACCCGTCTGTTATAAAATGCAAGGCTGAAGTTAGTACAGGGGAAGGGTTTTAAAACGTTTGAAAAAGATACTTTAATAAACTATTTGTTTCACTAAAAGTTAATTATGTATACGTATAAATGAATAAGATTTTTTCATAATTCATTAAATTATATATTGGGTACTCGCACAAAATTTATATTTTATGGACAAATAAAGTCGTAAGGATATATTTTGATTTAATTAACAAATTGTTTATATCATATACCTATACGAGGTGTGTTCAGAAAATAACGGGAATTTTTAAATTTCGCGGGTTTGGAGAGCCGGTTGTCATAAAATTGTCTTTATTATGTTGGTATTCATACCCCTGAAGAATGATACAAATTTTAAATGTTTTCATTGTTTACTTTGTCTGTGGCAGCCGTTAAGGTTAGACGTGTTTTATGAGCTCGGCGATTTTCGTTCGTTAAAAGAAATGGATCAAAGAATTTGTATCAACTTTTGGGTAAAAAATGAAATAAAATGTGTGAAATGTTAAGAAAGGCCTATGGTGAGTCTGCTATGAGTAATACAAGAGTAAATACGTTGAAGATGACGAACACCCCGGACGCCCAAAAATATTAACAATCGATAAAAACATGGAAAAAGTAGAAAAAATGGTTATGAACGATCACCGAATCACAATTAGAGAAGTAGCTGATGATGTTGGCATAACGATGAAATTTTTTCGAATGTTTTGGGTATGAAACGAGTGGCAGCAAAATTTGTTCCAAAATTGTTGAATTTTAAACACAATTTTTTGCCAAAAACAATACTGTAATGGTGCCCCAGCCTACATATTCGCCAGACATGGCTCCGTCTGACTTTTTCCTATTCCCCAAAATAAAGAGAACCTTAAAGGGCCGTCGTTTGGCAAGCATAAATGACATTAAAAGCGCATCGAAAGAACTAAAGGCTATCACAAAGATCGTGTTTGAGAAGAGTTTAGAGGATTAGAAGAAGCGCTGGCACAAGTGCATAATATCTAATGAGGACTATTTCGCAGGCGACAACTTTAATGTAGACGAATAAATAAATACTTTTTTTAAAAAACGAAAATCCCGTTATTTTCTGAACACACCTCGTATTAGGGTGGCCCAAAAAAGAATATTTTTTTTCTCGTCTCTTGTAAAAATATGTTGGTTTGTCATGTGTTAAGAGCCCTATCAAAAGTTCAGCTCCATTAAAAAATTTTTAGGGGTCGCTCAAGATTTTTAAAAATTTCCAAAATCGTCAAAAATTTTTTTTTAGTTTAATTTTTTTTCTCGTTTCGATATTATTTTTTAATTTAAAAATATTAATGATTCTAACAATTTCAAATCGATATTTTGATTTCTAAAGGTCGCTCAAGATTTTTTTTAACTTTCAAAGTTGAGTATTTTGAATGTTTTCGAGCGATTACAGCTATGGCACATACATCATTTTTGTAGAACTTTTGAGTAAATACTTTTTTGAAACAATCCAATAGCATAAAATGCGGCTGAGACACAGATCTGAGATATAGATATTTAAAAAAAAATAATCTAAGTTTACGTGTATTTTAAATGGGAAATCTTTATACGCTTTGGTCGAGTACTTTGAGTTAATATTAAGGGCTCAAATTTTCAGGGAATTTTTTTTAACATTTTCAACAAGATTTTGAGTTGGGAGCAAAAAAAATAAAAATAGTCTTGAAAAAAAAATCGCCTCTCCTGTAAAATTTAATTTTTTGATTTGTATGACTGATATAAACCTTTAATTTATTTAGCATTTACATAGTACTAAGATAATAAAAATCTGATATTGTTGTAGAAACCCCATGACTACGAATACGGTTATGGCGTATCCGATCCACTCACCGGAGATCACAAATCTCAATGGGAAGTAAAAGAACAAGGCATCGTACGTGGAGGATACAGTCTCCTAGAAGCCGACGGTACCACCAGAGTAGTAGAATACGTAGCTGATGACCACGGTTTCAGAGCAATTGTCAAAAAAATCGATCAACACGGAAACACCAAGGTAGAAAGTCATGGACATCCAGAAGCTCACCACGAAGTAGCCGCTGCCATCCCAGTGGCTCCAACCTACGCTGCTCAATCACCCTACCAAACTTACGACGGCCACGTTCACAACTACATCCAAAACGTTGAACCTGTTTTAGTGCAAAAAGTAGCTCCTCCACCAATACAAATCGTACAAAAAGCTGTTGCCTATGCTCCTGAACCACTTCCAGCACCATTACCTGTGCAACCCATCCAACAAGAATATTACCAAGAACCCTATTTGCAAAAAGAAATCGCCTATGCACCAGTACAACAACAGATAGTGCAAAAATCCATTCAATACGCTCCAGTTGTAAGCAAACAAGTAATTGCCCAACCCCCTGTACATTACGCTCCAGCTCCTCTTATCCAAAACGAATACATCTCCGCTCCAGCTCCAGTTGTACACAAACAAATCATCCCTCAAGTACAACAACCCATTTACCAAAACTACGTAGCCAAATCCCCCTACGTAGTCGACTTAAACTCCTACGGGCCAAAATCTGAAGCTGTATTCGTACAACCAAGAGCTCCAGTGTACCACCAACCTCAGTACCAACCGCAATACCAACCACAACAATACCAACCGCAATACCAACCAGAACAATACCAACAGCAACAATACCAACAACAGTACGAAATCCCACAACCAGTGCTAACCCAAAACGTTCTTACTCCAGTTGCCAAAGGTATTTCTCAATACCAATTATCTCCATCTCCAATCACCATCCATCCCCATGGAGAATCCTCCCAAAGCTATTATGGAACCACTGGCAACATTGGTGAATCTGTTCCAGTTGGTTACAACCAACAATTAGCTTATTCTTCCCCAGTAGGTCAGCAATACTACCACTAAAGACTAGTTTAAGTTACAATGTAAATATTTATTAAGTGTTTTTTAATTTAATAATAAAACATTATCAAATTAATATTTTTTTATTTCAACCAATAAAAAGCTTTTTCAATTTAAACCAAAAATACAAAAATCAACAAACTCTTTTTAATTGTTCTAAGAGTTACACGGTATTTTATCGTATTCGATACATGCACAGAGAGAACTGTTCGGGAAAAATTAAGTAAATTGGGGTTAGCTTGGGCATTTTAAAAGTGAACGCTTGTGTATTTAGTAATGATTTTCAAACTCTTGGGTTTAAACTTTAAAGTTGGAAATAATTTCTAAACAAATAAGTGCTTACTTCGAAAATTCCCAAGCTGTTTCCAATTTACTTGATTTTTTTAAACATATATGAGAAAAGAGAAAAGTAATCTCTTGATTTAAGAAAATGCATTTATTTGAAACAGTTTTTCTTGTATGAAGTAAAATTGTCTTATTCGTAGTAACTTCTTGTTTACAATAAGAAAATACTATTATTTGGTTGTAAATCATGAGTTTCTTGAAAACAACTTATTGTTGTGATTAATTGTAAAGAAATATTTATTTAGAGCAATTAATTAAATTGTTTGGATATAGGTTGTATGGATTTAGTTTTATCAAATGTTAATACAAGCATATAATATCTTATTTTAACAAAATAATAGAATTGATACAATGTATGTCATATAATTAACGTAAACACGTGATTTGTTTGTTTCAAAAATACATTTACTTGAAGCAAATACATATTTATTTGCTTTTAAGTCCACGTGACTCGCGGAGCCAATTAGAGCATTTGACTCCAAAGACAAAGACGCTTGTCCGGCTGCCGGCAGCATTTGCAAACAAACTCGCAGAGCGTCCTTGGCAAAGCGTTAAGACTCTTAACTTAAGAGAAGGAGGTGTTTAATCAACGGTTATAGTTTTGTGTTTAAGTGCTTATGATTAATAGTATGGGAGAATTCTTCAAAGAAAATAATTTAACCCATTTGCTTTTTAGTTTTGTTGGTAAGTAAAAGTGATTTAGTTAATTAAAATTTTGTGTACCTAGGTAGTTTGGAAACTACAAAGTTATATGATAATGTAGCGAGTACCGCCCTGGATATCGGAGTGATGACTCATCGCCGATTAGTCATTGCCGGTGAGTCATCGCCGGTGACTCAGCGCTAGAATAATCGAGAGTGTGGAGCTCGCTGGAATGTTCCAGAAGACCTTGGCGCTGAATATATAAGAAACGGAGCAGCACACGGCAGTCAGTTGAGCTTTGGGTACTCGCGGCGAAATAAATAAATATAAGTGCAAATAAATAAACTAGCAGTGATATAAATAATTAGTAGTTAAGTGTTTAGTTAGTTTTATAGTGTTTTTTAAGTGTAGTTAAGTTATTAAATAAATACTTTAGTTCGTTAATTAACCAGTGCGTGTTTTAATTCACACTACGAACAGTTAAAAACGTTACAATTGGTGTCAGGAGTGCGGTTAGTGTGAAATTTCGCGAAAATGGTTTCGTTAATGGACTTAAAAGTGGCGGACCTTAAGCGGGAGCTAGAAGAAAGAGAATGTGAAACAACTGGAAAAAAGAATGTGTTGCAGCAGCGGCTTCGAGAAGCGTTGGAACAGGAAGGTGAAAATCCAGATACGTATTTATTTGAAGGCCCTTGTGATATGCATTTAATGTTGCAAAATTTAAACGATTTAAAACAGAGAATGCTAGAAAATTCTAACGAGTTACAACATAAACTGCAAGAAAATTCTAACGAGTTACAACATAAAATGCAAGAAAATTCTAGCGATGTACAACAGAAGATTCTGGAAAATTCCAACGAATTACAACATAAAATGTTGGAAAACTCTAGCGAAGTACAACAGAGAATTTTAGAAAATTCTAACGAGTTACAACAGAAAATGTCAACGATTTAAAGGACGATTTGCAACAGAAAATGCTGGAAAATTCTAGCGAACTGCAGCAGAAAATTCTGGAAAATTCTAAAAATTTAAAGGAATATTTGGAACAGAAGATTCTAGATAATGTCAAGGAATTAAAAGAGGACGTAAGGATGGAATTGAATGATGTAAGGATGGAATTGGATGACAAATTGGAACTCAAAATAAAAGAAATAAATAGTAAATTAACAGCTGTTAATTTACCTATGATGCTGGCGGAACAAGGAGCAGTGCCGGAGGGGAGCCGAGTTAGGATGAAACCACCTCAGTTCGATGGAAAAACTTCTTGGACCAACTACATCCGTCAGTTTGAGGCAGCAGCAAAAGCAAATGGCTGGCTACCAGAAGAGAAGGCTACAGCATTGACTCTGGCTTTACGCGGAGATGCAACGGACATCTTGCAGACGCTTTCTCCCAACGAACAAGAAGATTACGAAGCGTTGGTGAAACATCTGGAACTTCGATATGGCCAGACACATCTGGAACATGTGTACCATTCCCAACTAAAGAATCGCTGCCAGAAATCTAACGAGACTTTGCAAGAATTTGAAGCTGATATTGCACGCTTGGTTCGGCTAGCATATCCAGCTACTCCAACGACCGTTATGGAACGATTAGCGGTTCAAGCCTTTTTGGATGGACTTCGGGACAATGAAACACGACAGGCTCTAATACTGGCTCGCCCGAGCCAACTGGTTGATGCATTGGCTCGAGCTTTGGAATTCGAGGCGGCAAAGCAGAGCTGCAGGAGCCAGTCTAGAATAAGGAGAGTCGAAGAAGAAAAGAAGGAAGAACCCAGGATAATTGAAGCAATAAGGCGAGTTCTTAAGGAGAATTTACCAGAGAAAAAGGAAATCCGGTGTTGGAGATGTGGAAAGCTGGGACATATCCAAAGTCGTTGCAGAGGAAGTCAGGTGGCGCCGACTTCATTTAGAAAAATAAATAGGGCCGAAGAAAAGGATGTGTATATTCGCAGGACTACAATCGTAGATGATCATTGGCAATCCGCTGAGGTTCAACAAGACCAGGAAAGGGACCCGGATTTGAAGCTCATCATCGATTGGAAGAAGAACGACCGTAAACCAACGTGGCAGGAAGTCGCCCAATATTCGCCGAATGTGAAATCGTACTGGGCCCAATGGAATTCCATCATCTTAAGTGACGGGCTTCTAAAGCACGTTCTGGAGATGCCAGAAGGGGGGGAAGACCGGAAGCAGATAATAATCCCCAGAAACAGGATACCAGAAGTGCTGCAGGAAATCCATGATGGAACTACTGGAGGACATCTTGGGGTGACCAGGACGCTCGGAAGGCTTAGGGAACGGTTTTATTGGGTCAACAGCCAACGGGATGTGAAGGAATGGTGCAAGAAGTGCGCCGTTTGCGCGGCAAGCAATGGACCCCAGAAGCGCCCAAAAGCCCCAATGCGACAGTACAATGTGGGCAGCCCATTTGAGAGAATTGCTATCGACGTGGCGGGTCCATTTCCGGAAACAGAATCTGGAAATAAATACATCATCGTTGTAATGGACTACTTCAGCAAGTGGGCGGAAGCGTACGCCTTGCCAAACCAGGAAGCTGCCACAGTGGCCGATGCCCTTATTAAGGAGTGGATTTGTCGTTTTGGTGTGCCAATGGAGATGCATTCAGACCAAGGCAGGAACTTTGAATCTATATTGTTCCAGAATGTCTGTAAGATTCTTAACATTCGGAAGACGAGGACGACTGCATTACATCCGCAGTCTGATGGAATGGTGGAACGAATGAATCGAACGATAAACCGGTACCTGTCCAAGGTAGTCTCGGATCACCAAAGAGACTGGGACCGCTTCCTCCATCTGTTCCTGTTGGCGTACCGTTCTTCTATCCACGATACAACCGGCCAGACACCCGCTAGCATTGTTATGGGACGTGAACTTCGTCTACCTTGTGACCTGAGGTTTGGTTGCCTACCAGGGGAAGATATTGCTGGAGAAGATTATGTCAGCAATTTACGTAGGAAAATGAGCGACATACACAGCCGAGTTCGTTTAAACATCCAGAGTGCCAGTGATAGAATGAAAGAGGCATACGACATCAAGGCGGAAAATGGAGGATTTCAACCTGGAGACCTAGTTTGGTTATACAACCCTCAGCGCCGTCGTGGTTATTCACCGAAGCTGCAGACTTCTTGGGAAGGACCATACGAAGTCATGGATCGCATAAATGACATCATCTACAGGATCAGAAAACAACCAAGAGGAAAGCCGAAAGTGATCCATTTTAACCGATTGGCTCCTTACGCTGGAAACAATGATGACCAAATGGACAATGCTAGAGTAAGGAGGGTTAATCCGCCGGAAGAGGAGTTGCCTTTTGAAGATTTCATGTATTTATATTCGAGTGGTAAAAAAGCTCGGTATGGTGTCACTCGAGAAGAACAAAAAGATCTGTTCACGGTTTCGGCCGATTACTCCCTGGCTCACTGTGTTGCGGAAGACCTAAGGATGTCCAGGGGAATAGCGGTTGTTTTTAAAAACAAGTTTGGACGGATCGACGAGCTACGAAGGCAGAATCCCAAAGTTGGAGAGGTGCTTGAAATTGTGAATAATGAGCAGATAGGCAATAGAAGTATCTTCTATCTGGTAACGAAGCAGCTCTCCCATCAGAAGCCAAACTACCGTGACGTATGGAATACCTTAAATAAATTGAGGGATGCCCTTTTATCCAAGGACATCATGAACCTGGCGATACCGAAGATTGCTTGTGGACTTGACGGTTTAGACTGGAGAATAATTAGAAGTATGGTGGAAGTTATCTTCAGATTTAGTGGCATACACATTCTTGTCTGTTGCCACAACCCTAAAAGAACAACCGAAAGGAAGACCGTAGACTGCTACTTCTATAGGACGTCACAATGCAAGTTTGGATCTCTATGCAAATATCGCCATGGAGCTGAGGACCATTTTCGGGACGAAAATGTTTTAAGACGGGGGCAATGTAGCGAGTACCGCCCTGGATATCGGAGTGATGACTCATCGCCGATTAGTCATTGCCGGTGAGTCATCGCCGGTGACTCAGCGCTAGAATAATCGAGAGTGTGGAGCTCGCTGGAATGTTCCAGAA